ATCACCATATCACGATATTCTAGAACAGTTAGGAAACTTAGATGAATTTCTTTGATTTCCCACTGCATATATTCACAATATTTCAAGCTCTTTACATGATTTACACCTGAATTGTTTTATTTTACTTAGTAGAAGATTTCAATTTGCGCTCACCCTAGCTTATGCCTAAATACTTGCTTTTTCCCTTCTATCACAAATAAATCAATATAATATAGTGAATATTCAATGAAACGTAGAATAATGCTATTTCTTTAAACCTAGTAACTATGCATTTGATTCTTTCTTTCACAAAGTACCATGTAGTTCAACTATGTATCGATCTTGATAGATTTTACTGAAAGCATATAGAGTTTATTCTCATCCCGGTGTATTAATCTCTTCTTTCTTTCAAAACGACAGATAATCAGTAACATTATATCAAATACCATAATGATTGTCACACTCACCAGAACAATTCACCTGAAGTTGATTAAAATAAAACAGGTGTATCAACCAATAATCAGTTGATTTATGATTAACTTTCGAAATTTATACGATAAACAACTAGTTACCCATAAGTAGTACAGTTGTATTTTTTTCAAACCTCAAATTGGTTTCTCTTGAATGTCGATGTAATTAACTATGAGATACCTCTTCAGATTTATTTAAGCAAGTATAATCACGTTTTGTGATTATTGAAATATGTGTTTAACACCTCAACATTTATTTACATAATGAATGTAAGTAAGAGGGTAACAAGCCGCGCCAACTATTCGAGCCTAAGTTAGCTCAGTTGATAGAGCATCAGACTTTAACAACGTTCCACTGCATGACGTTGCTCTATTCCCTTGTGGATTAGACCTTTAGGTCAAAGGCTTCGGATATGGCACCCTAAAAAACCACCTCTTTAGGCGCCCAGACAGCATCCCATCCCTCACACAATTCGAGTGCTTTATGTGACGTATATCTATTTGGTGCCTCCTTGTACCAATGTTTATGTGTTTAAATAAATAAATAATAAATGCAAGTAATTCAATTCATTCTGTAAATGTATATATTTCTCCGTTGTTGACGTTAAGGACAGCAAGTTATTAGTTTCTGTAAAAATATGTGCATCCTGAGCACGTCGCCGCTATATAGTTTATAGTCATCAGTTTCTATTCTATGATATGTGATATGTGAGTAACAGTGTAATTCAAATCAGAAGATTTGGTGGAAGTGTAATTTAGTTGGTTTCAGTCTCAGTGTGAATATTAACATTGGGATGTGAGTACATGCAACTGACGAACCTTATAGAAGATAAAATGTCGTTCAAGACCTCACTACTAATCTCATATCAAAATGATACATAATCCAAATGAATTTTTTAACTAAATAAGAATGAACTTTTTTCAAAATAATTATTCCTTAATTGCTTTGAACTGATTTCATTAAATATGTCAGCTACCATAAGCAATGAGGGATGATGATTAGCAGTAGAATCAAAAACTCGCGTTTCATCTTATTAGGGACTCGTCAGCTGGATGTACCTGCATCCTAGAGTTCACCTGAAGACTTGAACTCAGTATCGTTCGCTTCAAACGTCATTACGTTATCCACTTAGCTACTGAGTCCTGATAGCCAATTGCTTGTGATTGTGTGTCAGGCACTTTTACTGGAATTATTTAAACTAGAAAATATAAATAATTTAATGTACCATTCAGAGACTTTATAATTCACATTGAAATCCAATCATTGATATAATCTCTAGTCTCATTTATTCATGAATAGATGCTCCTAAGGATTAACAAACTTAAGCAGAAATACAAATCAGTAAACTGATAATATATATTTGTTTAATGGGAGATAGACTAATCCTGAATTTAAAATCACTGATAACTACTTTGAGTAGGTGAAGTGTCAACTTAGCCAGGTAATGCTACAATTTGACTGACAATTGAACTTGAAGATGATTCTGTAACGTAATTGTTAGATCTTAACGAATAGTAAATGAATGGTAACTACTAGGAACCATGTATGGACTGTTATTATATATATATATTCTCACTGTATAACTGTTAAGTAACTAGATTATATATATTTATATTTCTTTTATTATAAGCTTTCATTTAACCTAGTGTCTATTATTATACGATTTACTATTTTTAAGTTATTCCCGATTTATTAGTTACAGTCTCTCACACTCACAGCCACATTCGGCTTGATCTTGTATAATTGTTATTTTCTATTTTATGGTATGATTTGTTCTGGTTTGCTTGTTTATTAACCAAGTATGTCTGAAATATATGATTCAAGCAGTGGAATCCGAGATTGTGTTCTGGACTCAAACGGACTCTGCTAGGTGAGATGAACCAATAAGGACTCATAAATGACTTCTCGTACCAGTTAACGCATCACTGGTTTGGTACAGTGCCAAGGTCATATAAGTCGGTGTTCTAATAGATACTTTTGTCACGTGATAACTAACAGGACATAAGAACATACCAGTAATAGTCCCTATATATTAATCGATGGCAACTGTTATATTTTATAGTTGACAACGACAACTGACAAAAAGGGGAGGGAGGGAAATTTAAAACTAAGAAATGCTGGACACTTGTTACATCAAAGTCTCAAACTCCTCAACAGTGTTACTTGAAACCTAACCAAAGATTGAACCTAAGACCACTTCACCTTTAAACCCCTAAGTTAACTTTCAACTGTATATTTTTTTCCTAATCCATAATGTAAACTAAAACGTTTGCATCAATTTAGTTCTATTTATCAATTACTAGTTTTTTTTTTCTTATTCAATTACAATAACTAAACAGTTTAACTACACAATAGTAAACTTGCACAAATTAATCTATACATAAATGTTGACTTAAAACCATACTATCAATTGTGGTTACTTTTTTTCCCACTAACTCTATTTAACTATTTATTCACAAGTGAATTTCGATAGATTTTTTTCAACTTATTTCAAATTAATTTCGCGCGCGAAACTGATAGGTCTTGGGTTCAAATCTCGCGAGGCGAGATCATGGATCTGCATTGCTGAAGATTCCCACAATAGGACGAAACAGTGGATCATATTTCTTTGTTTTAAATTGTTATCATTGAAAAGAGGGAATTTTATAGCCGGCTGAATAGATTTATTTTTAATAGTTAAATTCATGAGTCGATGTAAACTGGATCACCATTGAAAAACGGAAATTACTGGACAGCAGTTTCGTCCTGATTTTTGACTCCCTAGAAGTGCATATCTACGACCCCGCACGTGGGACTCAGACTTGGGACCTTGAGTCTCGCGCAAGAACGCTAAAACTGTAGATCATTGAGGCGGTATTCAACAGTGTTAATGTCTAACTTAAACCAATCCACGATATTGCACCACCGTCCACCATTATCTTTAGTGAGTAACTGTTTCTACAATACACATGGTTGAACTCCACTGGTCACGGCTTCTTACGAGAACTCGAGGAAAGACCTCATAAAACCAGTCACTATTGAGCACATGATAATTATTATCAGAAAGAGGGTTTTGTGGATATTGTAGCAATTTTTCATAGTTGAATTGATGATTCGATCAAAGCTAGACCACCATGAAAAAACGTGGAAGCATTGGATGACTGTTAGATGTGTACTGCTAAAGAGTCCCATACTGGGACAAAACGGTCGTCCATTACCTCCAAGTTTTTTATATTAATCAACTCATAAATTCAACTAATAAAATTTACCACAATATTCACTGAATAACAGAAGAATTAAGGAAATAGGAACATAGTAAAAAAATAGACAAAGATTTTCATGCTTAACTATCTCCGATATCAGATTAACACAAGGATCCAGAAATATAAACTACTCTTAAATAATGCCTGATTTTTGAAGCTATTCAAAGTGATATAGATATCATTACCACAAGAACCGATATTATTGTCAATATGATCAACGTCCAACATGATAGGACTACTTGTTAAGAAATGTTTTCAACTTTACATTAAGGTCTTATGATCATTTAAACTTTAACCTGACTGAATATCTGGGCTACGTATTCCTGCCATCTAAATATTTCAATAAGTTATCTATTTTTCTGTTTGTTTCAACACATCATTATACCTATTAGTCTCATAACCTGTTTAGGTGCGTTTGTGAAACATTCACTACATTTCGTTGTACAACTTACAAAAGAGCCTAATCAGAGACATCGCGGTTTCTGGCAATATGCATCGAAAACAATAGACATTATTCAAATATTGATTCTTGAACTGCTAATATCTTAGCTGGCGATCAATCAATATTTATCATCAGGATCGATCAAGAAATAAGAAAAGGAAACATGTTGAAATACTTCGCGCTGAGAATTCTATATTGGACCAAAAATATGGTATTGAATAAAGCCACCAATAGTAATAATAATAATTGTTGAACTAACATAATATTTGGTCAACTTACAACCTATTACCAATAGTGATCATTGTTGTGACTTTATGTCCGGCTTTTTCTCACGTGATTTATCCATCAATCAAAATACGATTTATACAATCTTAGCACTGTGAAAAACCAATGACGTTCGAGCGATATGAGCAGCCTAGCGCCCTTATTGGTCCTATGTCCGCCTAGTCCGTCCACTTGAACCCAGAACACCAATACCAGTTTCCACTATGCGAATCGAATGGAATCATTTATTTCAGACATACTGGGTTTATATATCAATCAAACAGACCGCAACGCACCATAAAATAGGAAATAACATTTGTACATAATAAAGCCAAAAAGTGACTATGAATGTGGGAGGCAGTAGTCAATAAATTGAACATAGCTTAAGAATAGTAAATCGTATTATAATAATCTATAGGTCAAAATGAAGCTTACAATTAGAGGGACATAAATATACATAATCTAATTATTGAATTGTTATACCATAAGAATGTATAGATAATATTAGTCAACTAATATGTCTCAGAAGTTACTCGTGATTTTATCTTCATTCGGATATAACAATCATAATACTATTCTTTATTCTTCTGTCTATATTTCAGATTGGATCCACAAAACCTGATGCATTAGCTTTACCATATTTTGCTAAAATGACAGAAAATAAACGATTTTCAAAATTCCACTATAATACTACCACTAGTACTACTACTACTAATAATAATAATAATAATAATAACAATATTGCTATGTCTGCTGAAGTAATGCGTTCCGATTCACCAAAATCATTAGCTTCATTGATAGATGCATTGAAAACTATACATCCATTACTTTATAACTTAAATGAGAATCATATCCCTTTATCATTAACCGATCATGATAATAATGAAAACTCTAAATTATTCATTCATTGTTTATCAGAATATTTATTCACATGTATGAAATTGCGTTCATTAGATTTAAAAGGTGAATTTGTTACATTCTTATTTCCGTTAAAACATTTCAATGAACAATTATGGAATAAATATGGTACAATTGATGATTGGAATGAATTATCTGTTGTTTGTGAACCGAATACAAACTATGAATATGTTGTATTGGTAAATTGTTTCTTTATTTCTTGATTGTTTGTTTGTTTGTTTTTCTTACATTTGATAAACTTCAATGAAGATTAGTCTCTGATGGAATCCAGATGTTCATCAGTGACTTATTTGTAGAGTTATTTCAAAGACTTGTAGTTAGAAGTAAAGGTCATTTGATAAACTTCAATAAAGGTTAGTCTAATGGAATCTAAATCAATTCGATTAGTTTCAGAAATCTGCAAGTAAGAAGTAAAGGTCATAAAAATCTAGCTATTTCATATTTGAGGTATTTACCTACCGAATAATATATATGGAGATGTTTGCATAATATTACAGATTGATCAAGTTGAGTATGTAAGCCAATAGATGTTGGTTCAATGGTTAAATGAACACCAGGAGATTCTTGATTAGTTTATAGACTGTCAATAACGAAAAGCTCTATGCGAAAACAAAACAGTTATTATCTAGTGCTTTCTGATTTCAGTAGTTGTATAACAGAAGTTAGTTCATGATGTCAGTTTTTTTTGGCTATTTGAATTATTACTTTAATATAGGAGTGAATTACATGGATTGAATGTCATATAACTAAATATAAATAAGGATACACTTGGTATTGTTCAGCTTATATCTTCCCATTGAGGTTTAAGACTGCAATCGATCAGTATGTGATTGGCATATGTGCATACTGTGCGTATGCCTCGATATTGCCTTAATTCACAAGCTTTTTGTAAGCAATGATGGATAGTGGCTAGCAGTGGAATCCAGGGCATCAACTCTGAGATACAGGTGCATCCAGTTGACGAGTCCCAAATAGGACGAAACGCGCGTACCGAATAAGGATAGTTTTTTCTTCATCCTATTGTACTATGTTTCAACAAGTTACAAAAACACTGAAATATAACATCTGATCTTTTGACTCTGAAGATTTATTATATATATATATACATACACATACTTTATTTTAGCTACTTTCCATCACTGTTAATGATGAGTGTAAACAAACAAAAGGGAATGATACGCGCTATTATTATTATTAGATATCAAGATCTACAGTTGACTAAATTATTGATATTCCAATGCTTTTTTTATATGTTATATAGTCAACTTATTGAAAATCGATTAGCCGATAACATTGAAAGTAATAAAATAAAAAAAATACATTTATCAGTGTTTCCAGGTTTTCAATGGTGATCTAACATTGATCCATTATTGATATGAATCTAAAAGTACATTTATATCATAACATTCATGCACTAGACAAAAACTGAGCCTTCAACAAATGAAATTCAGATAATAATCAACTGTCCAAATATCAGTAAAGCTGAAATATAAAGGCGAGCCAATCAGGTGTGATCAGATCATTTCAGGGTCACAATGTTTAAACCGAAACACAATATCGTCAATCGAACTTAGATGATCCACTTCAATGAATAAAATATGATTAGGTAATTTATGTTAGAGTTAGAAATATGATTTAGACTTTTGGATTTGGTTTGAGAACCGGAAATTAGATTGAGGCCTAGTATTAGGATGAAGGTTAACCGAAAAACCAATCCTAATATTAAATCTTAACAATAAATCTTGAACTATAATCTTAACTGTAAATCTAAATTGCCAATCCTACATCCTGATGCTAGCTTTAAGTTCTAATCCTAAATCCTCACTGTAAATGCTAAAACCAAACCGTTGCATCCTAAAGCCCTCGTTACAAAAATGCTCTAGGCAACATTTAACTACTTATAAAGAAAAAAGTAGCTAAACAACAAGACAATAATAATTACGTGTATATTTTTATTGATATAACTTTTTGAATTTTTTTTGATGTAATACAGAATACAGCCAACGAATCTTCACAAAAAATCAGATTTCCTAAAAAAACAATCGATAAACTATTAACAAATTGGTTAGATAATCAAACTACAAAAACACCTTCACCAGGAAATCGACATTCATTGGAAAGCAAAAATAATACAGAGAAACATTCAGATGATAAATTACTTCATTCAATTAGTTTAGCTGTAACCTTGAAAACGTTGTTAAATTTATTTGAAAAACATGAAAAAGTAGAAAGTGATGAACATCATCCTCATCAAGAACAACAAAAACAACAACCACAACCATGTGTAGATCTATTTCTAACTTGTATTAAACTTAATGTACTACTAAGTTTAAGTGAATGTTTAGATAAAAATAAATCAATCCAATTTAACTTAAAACCGGAACATATTTTACTTATATTAACACCATCTAATTGTTTAACAATTTTTAAACATTATGAAAAAATACAAAATAATAAACAAAATGAGAAACCAGCTAATACTGATGATGATAATCATAATGAGACTCATGATCTACAATCATTATTAAAAATAATGAATATTCAATATGATTCAATGAATGAAAGTATCAATGATTTAATCAAACAATTATATGAAATTATACAACATAAATATCAATATTCCGATATGATTACATCATTATTGAAATCAGTTGCACCACCAGATTGGATAACAATGTGTGTAGCTAGAATATGTTTATATAATCAAACAAATTCATAGAAATTCAATTCAATGTTAATGTCATGATTATATACTTTCTCATATTTATAATAAATAAATGAATATCCCTTAAACACACTTTCATTCATATCTATAACAACCTATTTCGTATATATATATATATATATATATATATATATATATATATATATATATATATATATATATATATATATATATATACATATATATATTTATATACACACTCACACATAAATACATACACACATAGAAACAAAATTGATCTTATTTTAAACAAAACGGAATGAAAATGAAGAAAAAATTTGTTTTCTGTTATTTCGTTGATAAGTACCAAATATTTTCTTTTCTTTTCTTTTTTGTTTTTACACCCCCCTCAGGTTATCTATTATCCATACCGACTATTGATGAGTAGATTGTTTAATGTTTAAGTTATGCTGCCGTTCGTTGTTCCTTTATTGTTATTGTTGCTGTGGCTATTGTTGTTGTGAACAGAAATGAATGTTTAGTTATTTGTTATAATGTTACTACTTATATACTCATAATTGAACATTTTTTTGATTTCTGTAACATTTTCGACAAAAAGAAAAATTTGACTAATCAAATTTATTTTCTATGATTGATATTAGTTGATTGGAACAATTGTGGTAATAATAACAATACGATAGTTATTATTACTATGAATTGAATATTATTCATAATTATCATTCTTTCTATGACTTTTTATGCTGTCAAGCTTATGTGCTTATTGAAAAGTATTATACATATACTACTAATATGCTACTTATTAATATTAATAATTTGCTTATTTAAGAATCAATTTTGATGCAATAGTAGTAGTGATAGTATTAGTAGTAGTAATAGTAGTAGTAGTCATGTTGCTTTTCAATTACTCTTGTCAATTATTTTCATTTTGAAGAAATAATGTATGTTTGCTTATAATAAAATGAAATATATACCATATATGATTATTTTGTAATGAAAAAGAAAATTAAATTTTGTTTAGATAAACAATTTACTACTCTGTATTACGGGTGTATATGTATGTGTTTATTGTTCAAGATGCTTTAGTATGAGATATATTTATATAACTATCTGGTTATTTCGAACATTTGATTTAATGTACTCAATGGGTAGTTAGAGAACCTGGAAGCACTGGACGGCCGTTTTGTTTTATTGTGAGACTCCTCAGGACAGCGCATGCACGATCCCGCTTACGGGATTCGAACCTATCAAACTTATTAGTCTCCACAACCCCCATCCTCAAAATTATCATGTGCTCACTGGTGACTAGCTTCGTGAGGGAATTCTCGGAGTTCTACTGAGAAGCCGTGACCAGCGGAGGTGATCTATGTCGGGTAGAGACAGGTATCTACCTCAGTAAAATGGAAGATGGTCGCGCAATCTCGTGGATTGGTTGAGGTTAGACATTACCACCGTCGGATGCTGGTTCAGTGGTCCAGTAGGTTAAGTGTTTGTGAGCGAGACCGAAAGTTCTGTGTTCGAACCCCGGGGGCGGGATCGTGGATGCGCACTGCTAAGGAGTCCCACCATAGGACGAATCGGCCGTCCAGTGCTTCCAGTGGTGGTTTAACATCAATCAGTTCATGATCGCAATCAAATACTTTATTATTGTTCGCGAAATTATTGTATCCAAAGGTTAGAGACTTCGGTGACTTGACTTATTATTAATCGCGATTATGAAATTGCATTCCCCCAGTGTCTTCTATTAGGCTTTCAGTTTTAAAATGATCTTATACATATTGTTCCGCGTTCATTTTTTCCATACCTAAGCTTCCCTACAACCACTGATAGTATTGCTACTTAAACTACTATGAAGTCGCTTTTGATAATTAGATCTCATTATCATTCTCGCATATACATCAATAACTGAATGCTTTAGATTGCGTAAATTCTTTTTAGATCTTTTTGTAATACTTAATTCAGTAAAATATAGTAAGTTTGATGTTCTTGGTTGATTAATTATTTGGAAAGACTAATTTGTCCACATCATGACCACGGTCAGTAGTAGTGTAGTGAACAGAACATGAGTGGGGACAATCGAATGTATTTAACACAAAATTACAGGACTTGTTAATAAAATCTAACAATCATAATGTAAATGCTTAATTTGAAAAATGTCCATCGATTGTCTCAGACTTTATTGTTCTTGCATTTTCACACAAACTGTATCCTATTTCCATTCTTTACTGTTCGATCCTCTTGTCTCTCTGCTGCCAGACCTTCTGTTCATGACTAACATCATATGCTACTTATGCCAATATAAGTAGCACACCACAGTAGTAACTCTGAAAACGTCCTGTCCTTTTAGTCTAAGCTTCTATGAAATGTTGCTCATATACGCAATCACTAATTCTTCTTTCTGTTCGTCCAGTGTATATGCTCTGGCACGTACATGTAAATTACTTCATACAATTAGAGATAGTATGAGTCTAAATTTATCATGCTTAACTCGAGACCTGAAAAATCCCTTAGTTCATTCTTATATGTGCCTTTTCAAAACAGTTAGCTCCGAATTAGGATATAACTACTAATCCGAGCTCTTTATTTTTCAGTGGCCTTATATTTGATGAATAAATATAATGAAAATTGAACAAATCTTTGACATGCACCCAAACGAAAATCATATAGTTGAAAGATGCTCTGTACTAAGTGACAAAGTCTGCGAATGATATAAAAAAGCAAAGCGATATGACAATAGGAACTGATCTGGACTGATAACACATGAATCAACAACAAAATCCGTCGTTAATGTGAGGTTGTGAAGACTTGAGCCTGAATGGGAAGATGAACCGATCCACGTTAGGAAAACATTGAAAACCCTGCGGCATTGGACAGTCGTCTCATTCCAGTATAAAACATCTCTGCAGAACACACCACACAAGCTCAGGACCTTCGTTCTCGAGCATGGGCACAACTTCCGAAATACCTAGTCAGGATAGTCTAGCTTTAACCAATCCGTAACATTGTACGACCAACTCTCATTGTTTTCGGTTCCTGGCTGCGAGCTCGTGGATGATGCACATTGCTGAAGAGTTCCGTAATAGAATGAGACGACCGTCAATTGCTTGCGTGTTTCTAGTAACTGTCCATCTTAGATCAGTCCTCAATTTCAATGAAATCCAACCATTATCCGCGACACATGATGCCTTACTTGTAACAAAGCTACTAGATAGTTGTTCTAGTTCAAGACTCACCATCATAAAAGAACCGGACGAGCCCACTGTTGACATAGGAAAGCCGCCCCTTCTGTTTGTTCGCAATTAGTTACTTTCCGGAACACTAAAGAAATGGACTAGTAAATTCATTCTACAAATTCAAGTCATGTCATGATTTGCCGTCTCTAGCCTTTGATGTGCAAGACTAAGATGAAGCCATAACCCTCCCCCCCCCGGTTAGTGGAAACACTACTTAGAACCAAATCATTCAATACTGCATTGTCGTTATTCTGTTTGTTTCCCTGTAGTGAATTGTTAATTTCAAAATTTGTCCCTAACTGTCTACCCGATGATCACTTTGGTTTAGCATTTACCTATCATCTCATTTTAATTCAATAAATAATCTAGATGACAAGTAGGTTTTCGATCTTACACACATAAATTACGTCTAACAAGAAATATCATTACCACTACACACTCAGTATGAAGACGTAAACAGTACCACCACCCAGGAGCCCACTTCTACGTATGCAGAAAGTTTGATTCAGACTTTAGACTGAATGACTGTAGGTTTATTTGCTTAAGCTATCACCTTACAGTTTAACACAATCAATTACTGTTAGATGGTTAGACATATTTGGCAAGAAACCCTGTTAGAATTTTAATAAGGTTTACCTGTATTTCTGAGGATCTAATATTCTCTTTGTGAGATTAGAGAGTATATCACAAAACTTTACTACTCAGCCATTCAAACCACCATCGACTTCTCGTAAACTGAGTATATGGTAAAGTTATGTTTGTCTAGCTTTTTCTAGTATAAATCGATGAGGTTGTAGTGTGGTCTTACAGTGGTCTTGAGTGCTGTTAGAGGTATGAGGGCGGTTATCACTTCCCGGTTGCCCACACCGTGGAAGGGTTCTTCTGGAGGTACCTGAAAAGGAAATTGGATTAGAGGTGGTCTTAGTGACCTGAAAGCGTGACCGCAGTGCCAAAGGGACAACTGATTGAGGTCGGTCACACACGACCTTTTTATGGGTAATTTTTGTGTTAGCTCCGTGCTTGTTGAGACCTTACCGCCGGAGACGGATATCCGTGGGGCAAGGTGAGGTGCGCATTTTTAGGGTCGACCTTTTCTAACCCCACCCCTCCTTGTGGGAAGGCAGCATCGCTGTCATGCTGGTTGTCTGAAGGAAACGCCTTACTGCTGTCACACCTCTGTACAGTCAGCAGTACGACTTCGCCTTCAGACCTTATGTTTGTTGCTTTTAGTCTTACCGCTCTTCAACCGACCTGTCTGACATGGTAGGACCTTGAGGAACGGTTGTTCCAGCCAGTATAGCTCGGTTGCTTCATCACGATAGGCAAGCCCGACCACCACGTCAAGGTAGCAACAATGGTCGGGTACTGTGGTCACAATGATTAAAGGAATTAGATACAGCGTGCACTATGCTGACAAGTTAGATTCGAAGACACAGAACAACATTAATCAAAATGAAATCAAAAAAGATCTTTAAAAATTCTCATGTGCATGTGTTCGTTTATTTTTTGTTGCCACTATGTCCTATGGAAACAAAATTTGAGTCAACGCAAATACAAATGTGTAAAACTTTTGACATGAAAAATAAATTATTCGCAATAAAAATAACTTTAGTTGTTATTATCTTTGTTTTCATTGTCTGAACAGTAGTATTAGTAGTAATAGTAGTATGTATGTAAAAAAAAGAGGAAAAATTAAATCCTTTACAAATTCAAAACAAAACTAACTAGAACAGAAGATCCCATAATTGAAAACATCAATGGATGGCTAAATAGACAATTAAAATGAGCAATAGAAAAAATAATAATAAACGAACAAACAGAAAAGGAATGTTAGTGAATGATTATGATTTTGTATATAAAATACCATAAATCGTTTTAACAACCAATAACTGCTTGATGAAATAAGCAGATTAGAAGGAAATTTCCTGTGAAAAACTAGAATGAGAACAAGAAAAACAAAAGTGATCAATGTCAAAATTGTCTATAGAAAATTAAAAACGAGCATAAATGAAGTTCAATGTACAACCTTTTAATACGAATAATTATGATAACGATGAGGTGCTATGTTTTACGGTGTAGAAGTAGGTTGGAAGAAAGCTAGAGGCGGCCAGACCAAAACATGGCACAAGTCCATGAAGTCACTGACAAGTGGACTAAGTCATGTTGGTAGGTTTAGACTACTTAGTTGGGGACCGCGAGATGATAGCAACCGATGGTTAGAGACCCTGAATGAAATGGCTCAAAACCGTTTGCGATGGCGCAAGTGCATCCACTCTTTGTCCTCTCCCACATTCTAATCTTCTGAATTCTTCATGTCCCTTATTTTCTTTCCAAATTTATTTCACTGTATTATACTCCTTGAATAACATCTTCAAGCCTTAATGTTTCTGATTGCTGCTTACTACCTCTACCACTACGGAATTTGGGTCGACAACTGCATCTCTGTGCTAATGTGCTATGGCAACTCGAACTGATGTACGTACGTACGAAGGTCTACGTTGTTACTGACTGACTGATAACATAGTACAAGTGAACCGATAACAACGTGTTAAACTCAAGGTCTAGGGGTTATATCGTCTAAAACCATGTAGCCATAAATTAAATTTATAGGATGAGCCTTAAACCAAGAAGTGTACGTCTTCTAGTACTCACCAAACGACTTCATCAACTGATGCTACAACTTTGTTTGATCACACCCCAGTTTTATCCAAACATAGGTCACAACTAGATTAATTGGTGAAAATCCAAAAGATTATCGACCGGTTTACTATCCTTACATAACGGCCTATGTGTAACACAGAAAATGCTCACTCATTTGTTCTATTATGCGTGAGAAATCCCGATATAGTATACCTCAAAAGGTTATACTTCACAACAACATAATAGTAATACAGAGTTAACTGCACTAAATATGGGCTTAAATTGCAAAGACATCAAACAAACTTTATGTATCACTCCAAAATTACAGTGATACAGTAATTCAAAAACGTTCATAAGGCTTAAAAGTTAGTCGGTTATAGACACCGCAACACCTGGTATATATATCGGTTTGAGTTGCCACAATAAATCGATACGACATGGAATTACCAAGAAAAATTTAAGAGTAATTAGTGGAAGTAGTAACAGTATCAGTGGGACAGGAAATAAGAACGATAACAATGTGGTGGTCCAACAATACCACCATCACTCACATATTATCAATATACAGAGTTTGTATGCATAAATATACACAATTCAATTGTATTTATACATATTGTTGCGTGAATCCACTGGACGTCGTTTAACTCGGGATAGATCAGGTGATAAATTACAATTCATTGACATGGAAAACACTTTGTAATTGATTACCTAAATTAACGAAACAGATAACAACAAGAAACAATGACTGAACATGCTAAATTTCTTTAATTATTGCTTTATTAATGTGATTTTGTTTAACTGCTCTCCATAGTTGAGGTTAGATCGAAAAATTCTTCAATGTTCAATGAGTGATTCACAAGCCATACATTGGATTTCAAGTTTTAATATTTACTATAATTGTGCTATTCATCTAGCAAGTAGGCTGTACTACATTGGACATTTTTCAAACAGATAGTTGCAAATAACTTCCGTTGTTTGAAATAAAATGTTTGATGAAAATTATACTCTGATATATTACAATAATCAACCACTAAAGAAATGAAAAACTGACGCAAAATTACTAGGTACAATATATTTGATGAAAGCTTAAAAACATTGAGGATAACCTCAGACCATGGCGGTTGGAAATGGAGTTGTCGTCCTTCAGTTTTTTTATATGATTATACTTTGATACCATTGATAGTATTTATATCAATACGATTAAAACTACTATTTAGACAATAGCCTTCATCTATTAAGTTACAGCCCAAAAATGCCCTCGTACAGCCGAGAATGGAGAGAGTCCGCTCCCCCTCTCGAAATGCTTTCACATGATCATGCTTATACAGCCGATGCCAGGGAAGTCCTACTCACTACCTTCTCATGACGCGGGTGTTGTTTACGAAATTGATAGGACAAAAAGCGAATGTCCAGCGCTCTAGCCGGGTTGGTGGACACAGAGAGCCCATTAAAATTATTGAACCAGTATATAAAAAAGGTAGACATAAAACAAAATAAGGTTATGTTTAAGACTAATAGATTAAAATTGAGTGTGAAATCCGTGCAAAATAGAACGTCTCCATGAAAAAGCGACCAGTACACTGAATAAGGTAGGGCTGTTGTATGGTAGGATTGTAAATCGTGTTGTTCAAGTTGTATGAACACATTTAAAAAGAGGATTAATAAGTTTTCAAAAAAATTGTATGGTGTATTTTACTATTACATAATAAAAAACTAAATCTATCCTGACAAGCATAATGTAGGAATGTTCAAGTCAAGTGGAACTCTAACATAAAAAAAACTAAATTGTCTTAAAAATAGCAAGAGAATTTTCCTTATCTGTTACCACGTATCCGGTTAGACACGTTAAAATCATTCACTATGGTACAGATGAATTGAATTTTTGTCTTCCCTTAGATCTTGATATTTCGAAATTCTTATACACACTTTTTATTTCATTAATTCATGCTTTATTCTCGAACCATATGTTCGATGCTTGATGTTTTTTTATTACTACTAGTACTGTTATTACTTCTCCTAGTTTGAGATTCGCTCTGACAATCTTATTTCTGCGTATTAATCAAATGTGAAAACTTGAACCTATGTACACATGCCCCAAGTTCTACGTTGCGTATGGCTGAGCGACTTACGAATCATAAGTATCGTAACACGAATCACTGATAACCAATAAGATATCCTACAGTTCCAAACTTTTAGACATAAACACATGAGAAATCTATAACTATTCATAAGATCAGTAGAAATAAGAAATGCTTTCTCATTCACTAGGATTCTTCGTACCTATGTGGTCGCATCATAGGATTGAGCTGTGCAGTTCAGGTTGTAACTATCCTATATGATAACAAGTTCTCTTGCAAAACCAAACACTTGACACACTAATTATCTTGCGGTTGATTATTAACGTGTTTGGGCAACAACTAGTCAAATAATTACACTATTATTTGTCTCAGTATCTTTCCAGGTATTTTTCGTCCAACTTCAAGTTCATTTGATTACCATACAAATATTCCTGGATTTGTATAAAATAACCATGTACGTAAACCTCTATTCGGATATTTTTTGCATGACTATTCCTCATTCACATACAGGCACACACCCAGAAGTGTATAGCTTAAAGCTGAGATCATAAGTATGTAAATAGATCACTCCAAAATTCTATTTATTAACTTCAGTCTGTGGACACCTGTGAACAGTCCTATGATGCCTGCTATTGACTGACAGTTGTTAATTGTTGAATATTCTCGAAGTAATTAGTACAGTGTTTTAACGTAAAGTTAAAAAAATTATGATCGTAATAACAATCACATAAAATAATTTACATATCAATGAATCAATCCAGAAAACTGTGAACTCACTTCATCAAAAAATCGATTTAATAGAAGATCTTGTGGACTTCCGGGACTTATACTAGTGACTGAATTACAATTCTTTAAAGTATAAAAGTGAAAATAAGGGCTACAAGTTAATTGAACAGAATAGACAATAGAAAAGCAGAATCTTTCTGATGAAAAACAGTACTTTAATAAAATACTATGAATACTTGGAAGCCTTATTTGCCACATGTAATTGGTGATACACTTTTCAGCTGCAGAAAGGAGCTAAAACAATAACTGATACTATCGAGTAAACTAGATTATTGAACTTATCTTGTATATAAATAGGTCAACGTCCAGCGGTCCATTACTAACAATTCAGTTACACATGTGCAACCAGTAGCTAACTAAAACCGATATCGTGAGTGTCTGAGGTTCGTAGGTCCTGGTAAAAATGCAGTATTTTACGAATAAGAAGAGGAGAAAGTAGTTCAGGGGTCAGTCTTACTTTTTTATCCTTTAGTTATTCTTACGCATTCAGAATCGTTAGTTAAGGATTAGTCTAAGATCCATTTCACCAAGTCTTATAAAATAACAAGCCTAAGCCGTGTCCTTGTCTCGCACTTGTTCAATGTGGACTGGTGATACCACACATCACACTATATCACAAGCGAAAGGCTATGGCATAAAGATGAATATTCTATACACAACAGGTAGGATAATTCACTTTATTTGGTAATTTCTAACACTTCTGGATGTTAGTTATGTCCATAACTAACCAACCAAATAGTTACTTAAACGTCCACCACGTCGATCTGATCTGATGTGTCAGTAGATTATTCCTGTTACATATAACCTGCCAATTGAAGGACGTTGTTATCCTGTTATATTAGTGTGACTCATGATTTTAATTCATTTCGATCACATGCAATACTGATCGGTACGTTCATGCGTCCCACTTAATAACTATAATTCCTCTAATTATTGTACTAATCAAATTTTTATTTTTACGTTTAGAAACAGATAAGATTTAAAGTCAAGTTGTCCTTGTTCTGACTATAACTTTCACATATACTCTCGGGTCGCCATTATCGCGTTTACAGTTCTAGCAGAATATCTGTAGGACAAATTTAATCCCACACTGGCTTCTCATTGTCTCCCATCACACTAGTATGTTTGAAAAGTTTCTGATCTTGACTGTCTCATAATAATGTAAGTTATGAGAACCAACCATGTGAAAATGTCGACACCAAACACAGAAAAAATCCAAGTGGACAATTAGTATGAGGATAGAATTTGAGATGAGAATAAAAAATACTCGAACAAATATTTCTCATATTAGTTTTTTGCATTGGTACTTTTTTCCCTCTAGGTGTTTGAGTTCCCACGTCAATGTAGTGTAGCTGCTGTAGAATGTAGGCTCTAACCCTTTAGTTCGCTTATCACTAACAACGTGAAGCGTGGTATAGATGTGCTCGGTTCAAGTTACTAACTACATGAGCACGAAGAGACAATATTAATAGGATCGGTAGCAAGGAAATCGAAATAACATACCAGTTATGTTAAAAAGGAGTAAGCATTGATGACATTGTTTGAAACAACAGAGTGAAAAGATTTGAGTGAAGGAATACTGGAATTGAAGATTGAGAGGAAGGTTAAGATTGAATGCGACTGCACCACTGCGAACAATTATGAATCATATGACGTAAAGTATTTAACCACGGATCACGGTTACCTCGCAGATCCGAATTAACTAGCCTGCTTATATCAAGATGGCTCGGACAAACAGTCAATAACTTGTAGGTTAGAATCTCACTCTTACCATTTTAGCGGCCGTGCACACGGTCCACCACACATACGCAAACTAAGCTAAAATTTTTGTAACCCAATTTATATGACCTTAGGTCATATATTTATAGGACAGATGTTGTGTCAGTGGTCGCCACACACACAAACAATAAAAGCCAAATGTTTAGAAGCATTACCTTGATTACTTGACCACAAGTTATTACCTAAAAATACTTTATCTAAAATAACCTAAGCATTTAAAATTTTTAAGTCATACACTTCCCTAAATTCCAAAACCCAGATGTTGGATATATATATATACATAAACTTACTAGTAGAATTTCTGAAAATCCATGTTCTGTGGCGAAATTCCATGTTTTGTCTTTTGTTGGTGAAGTCAACAATGACGATGAAAGTTTTTGACTATCACCTAAATCAATATATACACTTTGTTGCGTTGATGATGATAACGATTGTGGCATTGAACTTGTTGGTTCGCGATCATCACCAACACTGCCATTTGCATAATTATTACGATATGTTAAGTTCCATGATGTTGACGATGACGATAATGACGTTGTTGTTGATGGTGTAGTATTTCCAAAAAACTGCACAGACGATATACATGATCTGGGCGTCATTGGAACACATGGATGATAATTACCAGCTGATGGTAATTCATTTTGGATATATGGTGACGTAGATAGATTAAAACGTGATGTGAATTTATTCACAGACCGTCGACTATGTGAACTGAGTAAATCGAATTTTGTACCAATAACAAGAATAGGTGGATAGACTGTGTTAGTTATATAGTTTATATTATGCTGATTATTGTTACTTGTTTGTGATTCCGATGACGATGTGAAAGATCGACTGACCAAAGTTTCTGTATTTAAGATAGGCAGAAGAGTGGTCATTTGATTTGTTATATTTGCTTTTAGATTACCATATTTTTCACTACTTACACCGCCACAATAACTACTAGTAGTAGTAATAGGAGCAGTGATACCGTCTGCAGCCGTTGTTACTCCTCCAATATCTATCTCCGGTCTATATTAGAAAGAATCAGGTTCATACAACAGAAATTATAACTAGTAAAGGATATTACAAACGTTAGATTAGTATGAGTACTACCGAATGAATAAAGGGAGACTTTAAAACAGACTAGTTTGTCGAGAAAAATTTATGTATACAATTAGTCGTTATCCAACGGATTATATTAGGTTCACTTCATTTCATTATACAATTTTAGAGGTTAAGAGTGACTAGGAATACAGGCTAGATAGTTCTCATCAGTTAAGCTACCTAACAAACATTTTTGGATGTTCACGTACTAGGCTGTTCATACCGAAAAAGCTATGCATCTATTGTAATCACAGAAATAGATGCATAGCTTTTTCGGTATGAACAGCCTAGTACGTGAACATCCAAAAATGTTTGTTAGGTAGCTTAACTGATGAGAACTATCTAGCCTGTATTCCTAGTCACTCTTAACCTCTAAAATTGTATAATGAAATGAAGTGAACCTAATATAATCCGTTGGATAACGACTGAAAATTGTATACATAAATTTTTCTCGACAAACTAGTCTGTTTTAAAGTCTTCTTTTATTCACCTATTGTAATCACAGAAAGCCCCCAAACGCCTTGGTACGGCCGAGAGTGGGGAGAGTCCGCTCTCCCTCTCGAAATGCTCTCACATAGCCACGCGCATACAACCACTACCAGGGAAGTCCTACTCATTGCCTTCTGATGGCGGGGGTCAGTCAGTTAGTAACAACGTAGAACTTCGTACGTACGTTCGAGTTGCCCCACCACATTAGCACAGAGATGCAGTTGTCGACTCAAATTCCGTAGTGGTAGAGGTAGTAAGCAGCAATCAGAAACATTAAGGCTTGAAGATGTTATTCCAGGAGTATAATACAGTGAAATAAATTTGGAAAGAAAATAAGGGACATGAAGAATTCAGAAGATTAGAATGTGGGAGAGGACAAAGAGTGGATGCACTTGCGCTATTGCAAACGATTTTGAGCCATTTCATTCAGGGTCTCTAACCATCGGTTGCTATCATCTCGCGGTCCCCAACTAAGTAGTCTACACCTACCAACATGACTCAGTGCACTTGTCAGTGACTTCATGGACTTGTGCCATGTTTTGGTCTGGCCGCCCTTAACTTTCTCCCAACCTACTCCTACACCATAAAACATCGCACTTCGGGGCAGTCAGTTGTTGGGCACACGTAACACGTGTTCCAGCCATCTCAACTGACGAAGTTTCACTACTTCATCAATTGATTTGCCATCCTTACCTAGTACCCGTGGTGGGGGTGTTGTTTACGACATTTTGAGGAGGAAAAGTGAATGTCTGACGCTTTAACGGGTTTGGTGGATATGGAGAGTCCACTTAAGGGAGTTGGAAAACCCTGATTCCAAACCAATGGTGCATATGGGCTCCAGTATCCTGCGGGAACAAATGGCGTATGAATCAATCGTTGGTCACCGGCTACCATAGGACTGCATCTCCTCACGATGCTCCACTGCCTTGTGGATTAGGCCTTTAGGTCTAAGGCTCGGGGTGTGGCCCCCTAAGAAAACCACCTGCTTCAGTCTGAGCACCCGGACAGTATCCCAGCCCTCACACAAATCGAATGATCTATGTGGAGCATATCCATCTGGTGCCTCCTTGTACCAATGTTTATGTGTTTAAATAAATAAATAATCACAGAAAATCAGAATATAGTTTGAATAGAGAACCTTTTTGTCAGTTAACCACTATGTAAATATATATATATATATATATATATGTAAACCTTTATAATTCACGAATAGGTGGGTAAACAATTTGTAAGGACTACCTCTTTAAAACTGGTTTCCCCAATACATCAGATAACCATTTTCTTAAATTCAATTGTGATTTCTTATTTGTACAATCGTAGACTAATATTAGTCCGTGTAAATTTTGATAGAAGATCGAACGAGTATTCTCATGACTGTTTGATCCGCCAATGTCCCATAATTCAATGAAATATGGATGTTCTTTTTCAGGATCACTATTGTATACATGAATCTAATTTAACAAAAGCAATGTAAGTGATAAAACAATTAACTGAAAATTCGACAACTTTTATATCCACACTACAACCAATTGTATACGAAGGATGAAGAAGAGTTTGTCCATTGCATATCAAGTGTACCAAAGCTGTTTTACCAACACCTTTTTAGAAGAAAATTATTACAAATTGTATGTACTGGTTTAAAAAATGATTAATTAATCTACTTACCGGAATCGCCTCCTACGACAACTTTGGCTTTTTTAAACTCCATGAGAACAAATCTACGGATAAAATTTTAAAAATACGAACTACAGGAGAATTTACCACGGCCAGTTCCACCGAGGTTTTCCATCTATGAGCATTGTGATATTTGAAGGGTTTGGAAGCTGCTATCTAGGATTTTTCGAGAATGAAGCCAGTCTGTGCAAGAAAGGAAAATTTCACTGTTACTCATGAATACAATCTTAAATATGTTTATTACTCTCCATAGAATCAAACAGAGTGAAGTAGAGTCACTGAAATACCACTGAGCCTTGTCGAAATATTCATCAGCCTAAAACGTTTGTACGTTGGAAGACCGATAGATAGGTGCTGAACTATTACCCAAAGATCATCAAGCTCGAGGACGAATCCATGGAAATGAAACAGGCAGCAGCCTGTCATTTCTCTGTATTCTATCGCTCTAAGGTTATTTCTAAACTACAATAATAAACAGAATACTAGGCTAAAACAGTCTGTAACTGAACATGTTTGACACGCATGCTAGCCACGTGAACAGAATTTTGCAGATCAACATCCCAATTAACACTAATATCTCACTATCTGAAATATGTGCCGTCCACTTAATTTTACTGCACCTCAGTGAAGCCTAAGACCAGTCGAACGTTACCAGTTCTCCAAAATTACTCAGCTTTTTGAGGTGTGTCAAGGTCACTCCAATAAACAACGTAACGAATCTAGCCACTTAGCCGCAAGAGTCCTACATTATTCGATAGCTATTTCAGAGTATATATTTTTTAATTTTAAGCGAATCCGTTTGTTATGAGGCATTTAAGTTACTAGACCCAAATGTTATAACGTTACCAGCCTGACGAATGGTATGAAACCGTAAAACTAGAATTCAAAGTATTGGAAAGTAGACAGCCAAAAGTAAAACATAAGTCAACTCATAAAATAAATAAATATATCTGCAAACAAACGGAGATAACGAAAGGGAAGTGAGTTGAATGGCCTATTGATCATAATAATAACAACCATAGCATTCACTGATAAACCACTTAACATTTGGCAAAAAGGTGATCTAAGTTAGTAAGAAACTTTTTCCGTTCAGTTAAACTCCAAACCAGTTGCATCAGGATCTGTGATCTAGAAGCTGAGCCATGAGGACTAAAATGGATCGTGTTCAAGTTGATTATTCCTTATAGTTTCAGCTGTACCTAGAATACCGTAACATCTACCATAAATCAAAAACTGACATATCATATCGGGATTACCTTCGCTTTGTTCTACAGGAATGTGTTTTGGGATTGATTGTGTAGTGTCATTTACTAAGTCAAGCCCACATGGGTTATCTTAACTTTCGGACAAACCAGCTCATTCATACTTCTTAGTTCATACTTTGGCCCTGCCAACTAGTTGCTTATTAAACTTTGCCGTTTTTGTATGAGTGTATATGTATGTATTTATTACCCTATTCATTGTGTATGTTGCTCTTCTCGTCTGACCATAAATATTGAACTACGGTTGATCAAATTAAGTTGGCTTACTCGCGTTTTTCGCTTTGCCTCGCTTTTCAGCCTCTTATTTCGAGCGTCTGTCTTGATAAACAAATGCTTGAAATAAATTCCTTTAACGCAACCTGCATTTGGCTTCTTATTACTACCGTCACACAAAAGGGGTTAGCCTGGGTAATATACGGAGTTAGATAGAAGTCTAGTGGTAATTAAATGCTCAAAATAAATCGTTCTGCAAGTCTTTGACATTGCTGCTGATCACATTAATTTTACTGAACACACCTAACTAAAGGCGCCCGGTCACTCGTCAACATCAGTTTACGAGTGAGTACGTGTGCTACTCATCCCTTGCAACTGTAAGCGAGCTCCTCTACATATTGCTAGCTTTCCGAAAATATCTTCGAACCCTCACGCTTCTGACTTCACTGGGTTGGTATGCTCAAATCATAATGATGTGAATTGTAATAGCGTTGTCAGACTCCGAATACTTGTGGTGTCCTAAGAAGATTTATGTTCCTAGCATCTTCATACGATCTAACTGTGGCCAGATACCAAGCATCAAAAAAAGGTAAGTCCAACTCCGAACTAAATACAACCTGCAAAACTACATAGACGACGAACAATCCGAACTCTATGCACCCAGTGAATGAACTAAGTAATTGACTTAGTCAACGAACTTCTCAAACAACTCAACCTTAACTCCGACGTCATCTGAGAGGCCAGTTAATCAGAGATATGGAAAAGCTCAAATCCTGTCATCTTGCTGATAACTTGTACTTGAGTCAACTCTGTCTAGCAAGTCATTCCATTATGACTGTAATAATTATTATTCTCGTTATCACGTTGGTGTCCTATTATCACTCAACATAGATTATTATTTCTAGTCGTATCGATATTAAATTGGTATGTTTTCGCAATAATATCACTTACTCATCGAATTATTATATTATGAACATTGCATTTACGTTACGACATCTGCAGCTCATTGGATTGTTTTATTATTCCAGGTTTAGGTGAATTGGTTTCATTTTTTCTTGTCATTCAGTCCCATTTTATTATTCTGATGTCATTTTTGTGTTATCATTTCACATACACATTTTTCATTTTGATATCGTCTCCTGTTATGTCTGTGGATGCACTTATTTCTAACCACCCTTTTATAAGATCGTTCTCCATTATGTTCTGAATCATCCATCAAAGCAAAAGCACTATGAGACTAATTATTCATTATCATCCCTTTTCTTGGCTATAAGGTTATCACATTTTATAAACTTCGGTCTTATTTACCGGCCGCTCGCACATCAAACAACCTGCTGTGAAATTTGGCTGTCCGGTAACATGATCATGCACACAAATCGGCAGTCTGAAGAGTTAAGAGAACCTCCTGTACGCTGATAACGACATGGTTGCATCTGCCCAGACTCTGCCAAAGGTTTGCAAATCTATTACAGATGTACGTTTGGAGTAATATTCACAGTAGTTAGAACCTATGCTCTCGATATGCAATCAGTGTTCGCTCGCGGCAATTGTATTAGGCAGTCGTCGTTTTCTACTTTTTGAACGACAATCTAAACCTAACCTCCAATTAAAAACCTTCGACCATTTTTTAATCAATGATACTTCTTTAATGTACATGCACGAATCAAGCACTCGACGCTGCATTGTCAGCAGATCGGTAACGAATATGTTCATCTTATCTATTTGTCCACATATACAACTGCATGCTACATCGTTCATTACCGACTGACATTACTTAACTAATGCGACTAATATTCTGTTCTCATCTCACTGTAAATCAGAGCACAGTTCAAAGTAAGTCTCTCAAAGATGCATTCTTTTTCATTACATTCTAATCGATTTCACTCGTCTATCATAAAAAATCATATTTAATAATATTTTCAACATGCCTTAGTACGGTTTCTCAACAATTAGGGTCTGACGCAACTCTCTCCAACGACATGAACCAATTTCAGACTTACGACCAAAAGTGAATACGATTCCGAGTATCTCGTCTCCACCGTCAATAGTCTGTTCTTTTCGTCACTCTACTAATGCAGATTCAACAACACATCAATGCATCTAGTTATAATACTAACGACAACGTATAGTGACTCTCCATCCTTTGATCATTATCAGCAGCAGAACAACAATCAGTATCATCCATCAACTCAGTTATTGTTTTACAGCTTGATTATTCTTATCCTACAAGCGGAAACTCCATGTCATGTTAATGCATAACCATTAAATACTAATCCACTCCATGTACTTTACTGACGTTTATCAGAATATTTTCATACTTCGCTATTCCTTCCGCATGACAGATCAGTTTTCGCTGTATTCTACCTTACTTATTTCGACGGTTTATTCACCTGTCATACTCTCAAACGATTAGTCACTTTTGCGCAGTATTTCGAGACGCTTATAAGAACGGACTACTTTATCACCCAGACATTTAAGACATAAATACATGTTAATTTTCCGTAAGCTTATTAATTTGACCACAATCACGTGCTAACACTATCTTAGTCCGCGTCTATACGACTTCCATACACTTTTTGTCCACATAAGTGCGACGCTTCCGTAATACGCGCTCACTGCTGGCAGTGCGTTGGAGGAGATTAACAATTGTTAAAGCCCTATTTGAAAAACATTTTCATCGCCATCTGTATAGCATACGAAACATACTTGGATGGTTCTTATTGAATTATATCGAAAAACAAACTCCATGATCAATTTGAACGGTTCCAATTTCAGAAAGTCATATCAAAAATATACAAAATTCCTCGAACGGTGCAGCCCGTGTTATACACTCAAAACGTTTTGTGGTGTCTGAATTAACTAGTGATTCTATTGTACTTGTTGAATGCTCGATTTCGAATTCCAAACACAATACATTCGTTTGTGCTTGTGTCGTAGTTCTTGATTATATTGCGGTAATCCTGGGATTCCTAGTTCATACTATAATTCAAATTCTTTTCAAATATTATACTTTTTCTAGCAATAAATTAACATTCTAAACAGAAAAAGAGAATGTTGGTAAGCAAGAGTTCGATACCTGAGAATCAATAAAAATATTCTCAACAAGATGGAATCAGGTATGTTCGCAAGTTTTTCAGTAACCTTTCGAAGTATGCGGTCAAACGTAAATAACCATCGGCTGAGCCGCGATTTAACCTTGGGCCTGGTCGAACACGGCATGACTGTCAATGGTCCAGCAACAAGAAAACCAATTAATAAGAGCTAAACCTCAAACCGTTGTCAAAAAATCGAAGCCCAGACATGGAAGGTTGAGGAACATAAAATGTGGTTAAAAGAGACTTGAATAAAGGTCAGAATTCAAGATAGGGAAAAGGGACAAATGAATGCCAATACTGTTCAATAAAACACTGTAGAGGTGCTTTCAGTGTGTTCTATCCGCTATAATGACTATGTGGTATTCGAGCAGCCTCTTTCATTGACATTCATTAGCTATTAAAAATATACGCTCTTTCGGTTCGATTCAAAATCAATTTCTTAATGACCGCCATATTAAAAGCTGTTCCCGAATTTGCATCTTAAGAAATTGAGCATAGCCCCCATGACTCAACACGTATATAACAGTGGCGCAAAGAATAATCTGAATAACAATCCAAAAGGATTTATTAAACACTATTGTCTTTTTTGTTTCCTTCAACATGTTATTGTTTGCTATAGAAATCTTAGGCTGAATAACACAACCTGCAACTTTTGAGTAATTTTGTACTTTTATATGACTTTTTTAAATTGGAACCGTTTAAATTGATCAAAGAGTTTGTTTTTCGATATAATTCAATGAGAGTCACCCATGTGTGTTTTGTATGCTGTACGGAAGAATATACTTTGGCCGTTCCGTTCAATCCAAAATACCGCTTATTTTTCAGTGGTAAACTAAAACTAAAAAGGCACGCGTTTAGAATAACATATAAGCGATCTGCTACCTTAATGCGAGAAGAAATTTTAACTGTTTGAATCATGATGATTTCACCAAAATGAAGCTAGATGACTACGACACATCTATGGGAACTACGATGGATTACTTAGTCGTTGATCACCGATCACCCCCTATTACTAACCAAATCATTTTTGGCTTTCATTTTTCAAGTGTAATCCAGCAAAAGTTATGACTCATTGTGTTAATTCCAAGATGGACCAGCATGGATTCCGTATAGCCCAGTTAAGTCCTAGAAACCCATAGT